CAAGCTGGTTCTGTGCCTGCTTCTCATGCCCAGTCTAGAACACGCGGACTGTGACCCACTTTCTCCCCCGAGGCTCACTTAGAGAGGGGCTGAGATAGTCCGTGATGACCAAGCGCATTTTGCATTTCCACTGCCGACTCTGGGCAGAGCCGCGAGGTCAAGAGTGACCCTGGCCGGCCACCTGCAGTTCAGTCTGCCTCCTTCTGCTTCCACGACAGCCGTTGGCACTTGTCTTCTTGAAACAGACATTTTTTGTCAAAGCAAACTCAGGCCTCACCTTGAGCTTGTCCAGAGCAGCTTTTGGGGGGCGGGCTGTCTTCCCTTCTGCACTCGCTGCATGGGAGCCAGGCTTTGCTGAGCTGCCTTCCAGACTGGAGGCTGGAGCGGCTTCCAGGAGCTGGGCTCCCACGGCACCTGTCTGCCGTGAGGACAACAGCAGCCCTGGAGCAGCGTGGCCGGGAACCTTGGGCCTGCGGCCACACAGCTCAGGTTCAGGCTGAATTTCCACTAACTGCCGGGTGTGTGGCTCTCAGGTGAGCTCCTTCGGGTCCTGCGTGTCAGTGTGTCTGTCTGGGAGGAGAAGCATGACAGTTTGTCAAGAGACGTTCACACAGAGCGTTGCGCACGTATAAACCGCTCAGGTTAGCCAGCCGTTGTTACTATTTTGACTCGGAAACAGACCACAGCATGCATGATCTCTGTTGTATCTTGAAAAAGTTGACCATGTGCCCCCAGCTCTCATACCTAACAGATGATAGAACGGCCCCCACCCCCACCCTGAGTCTCTTAGGACAATTTTAGGACTCTTTTCGTTGTGACTGTCACTAAAGGCTACGGCACAGAGGCCGGAGGATCAGGGATGTTGCCTTAAAAAAGAAGATAACTGGAACCTCCTTGAGCCCAAACTCTGATGTATGTGAAACAACTTAATTTTTCTGTAAGTGAACTTTAAAAAGTTTCCTGTGCTGTGAGCTCCCACCTGCTAAATAGCAGAATCCTCATCTCAGCCAGGTCAGGGCTTTTCCCTCCCACGCAGGAACGCGGTCCCATTCTGGGGCGGGGGAGGTGGAGAACCAGCGGTTCTGTCCTCAGCTGTCAGCACGCTGCCCTCTGGCGCGGGTCGTGAGGGTCTTGTTTCCTCCGGGCTTTGAACCTTGGTTCTTGGGAGTCGCTTCTGCAAACTTCTCATTCCACTTCGAGGGCTTGCTCTCCTCTCGGTTCTTTCCCGGCTGTGGGACTCAGGGAGCTGCCGGAGGTCCTGCGTGTCCCCAGGCCACTCTTGGGCTCTCAGGAAGACACCGCGCCCCTCGGCCCCTGGCACTCTGTGACCCCGGGGACTCTGCCAGGTGGCATCTTAGACACAGCCTGTAGCTCTTCCAGCCAGCACCACGCCTGATCGTGGTTGGGCAGGAGGACACCCCAAAGCGTGGATTTTCCTGGCTCTACTCCAGGACAGGGCACGGCCCCTCCTGCTCACGCTTGAAGTCGTCTCCAGGACGGGCTCTTCCTCAGAGCTGTTGGCACCTAGGCCCCTATTCCCGCTTCTCTTACTCTCCTCCTCTAGCTCACAGCACCTTTCACCTCGGGGTGAGAAAACTGCTTGATCATGTTTTCGTTTTTTCCTTTTAAATAGTCATATTTTTAGAGCAGTTTTAGATTCACAGCAAAATTGAGCAGAAAGTACAGAGAATTCCCAGATACCCTCGCCCCGCACAGGACTGCCTGGCTCCCTGTCAACACCCCCACCACGGGGTGCGTTTGTTACCGTGGGTGAATCCACGCTGACGCGTCCTTATTACGCAGAGTCCGTAGTCCACACCAGGCTCGCTCCTGGTGCTGCACACCCTGGGGTTTGGGGGCTCTTTCCTGCCCTTTTCAGTGGACAAACGTAGGGATACAGATCAAACGCATCATCATGAGTTCATATTGATACATCAGATTCAAGACTGTAGGGCTGTGATACTGTGATTTATAGTAAATATGTATTTGGTCTTCCTTCCTATTCCTGGCACAGAGCTCCTGAAACCCTCGGAATTTCCTGTGGTGAGAGCTGTAAAGGTGTCTTATGTCATGTTAATGAGGCGACTATTAGACCACACCCAAGGATGGGGGCTGGCTGCCACGGGAACCAATCACGTGATTAGTGAGCTGGGACTTTCAGCCGTGTGGTCCCTCCCCACCCACCTCAGCCTCCTGGGAAAGGTGAGGGGCTGGAAATTGAGTTCAATCACCAACGGGCAATGATTTAATCAATCACGCTTATGTGAACCCAAAAGGACCAGGTTCAGAGAGCTCCTGGTTGGTGAACACGTGGAGGTGCAGGCACGGCGGTGCGCGCAGAGGGGACGTGGAAACTCGGGACCCCTTCCCTGTACCTTGCCCCGTGCACCTCTTCCATCTGGCTGTTCCTGAGTTACATCCTTTTATAATAAACCGGTAATCTAGTGAGCAGACTAGCTTCCTGAGTTCTGTGAGCCATCCTAGCAAGTTAATTGGACCGAAGGAGAGGGTGCTGGGGACCTCTGAGTTACAGCCGGTCCATCAGAAGAACAGGTGACAACCTGGACTTGCGATCGGGTCTGAAGTGGGGGCAGTCTTGTGGGACTGAGTCCTTAGCCTGTGGGATCTGATGCCAACTCCAGGCAGATGGCATCAGAATTGAGTTGAATTGTAGACACTCAGCTGTAGGGTGTCCAAGAATTGCTTGTTGGTGTGGAAGAAAAACCCCACACATTGGAATTGGATGCAGAATCTTAAGAATTTTTGCTTAACTGCATCTGTCTTACATCTATTTCTCCTTTGTGCCAAAAATTCTGGTTCCTAATGCTCCCCATATAATTATTCATTTGTTTTAGTCCACAATACATGGACAACAGTGTTAGAATACCAGCTCTACCACCAGCGATATAATGATAGAGAACAGTTTAAGGTGGTGTTTTCTTCAGTTCTTTTTGCCTTTGGGTTATAGCCCACTAGAGATGTGAGTCAAATTATTGTTGTGTTTTAAGACCCTAAATCAGACTTTTGCAAATTAAAAGACTTGGTTTTTGAAACACTAAAGCCAAGAATGCAACTCTTTTCTCCTTCTGTCACGTCAACTCTGCCTTGAGGAAATAGATGCCTCGCTATCTGGCAGCTTCATGGAGGTGAGAGCAGAACAGGAAGTGCCTGGGGAAAGCTAATCAGGAAACTTTGCAAAACATGGTTACATCACATTTATTGCTCAAAAACACTCCTTATTTTTTGATCTAAACATGATATGAAGTAATCCACGTATTGGTATGTGAACCTATGGTTTCTTTAAAATGTGTTAATTAAGATGAGAATATGGATTTATTTGCACGTGTATGTGTCAAAGTCACTCTGAAGAAAGACCCAGCAGACACTATTGCTAACATGACCCAAGTCAGTGACAAGATAGAAATGAATTTCTTCCCAAGACTGATGTGATTACTGTATTGAATGATGGCCTAAGTCAAAAGATTTACGTCTTAGTGATTTTTTTGTTGCTGTTGTTGACTTCTTTCTCTCTTGTTCCCACCCTGTGTCATCAAAACTGAACTGATTTTGAGCCAGACACACACAAGTGAATCCTGATCGCTGAGCGTTTTGAAGGCTGGGGAGGAGGGGACGGCGCAGGTATCTGGAGTCCGTGCCTGAGTTCCAGTGGTGGAGCTGAGGGCACGATTACTACTCCACTGCTCACGTGTAGATCTCCACACGTGGGGCTCCCCACTGGTCTGGAATAGCCATGGGTAAGCATGTCATTCAGGCAAGCCGGCTCAAACATGGCTCTGGCCTGGATGGCTAAGCCAACGGCCACTGCCGCAGAGGAAACGCTGCAGCCGTGTTTCTCTGGATCCTGTGGCCTCGGGTTCTCAGTGGATTCCTCATTCCTGGGGGCTGCGGAGCCTAGTCCAGGTCTTGGAGAGGTCCCTGGGAAGCTCAAGCTGCCAGGAGGCAAACTGCATCTTTCTCGAGTCACCTGCTTTTGCCTTTTACATAATCTAATTCAAAATTCTTGCCTCTGTCAAGGGTAGGGTTTAACACCTTAGTAATTGTTAATTATTTTGCAGTAATTTCAGTACAAGTATAACAGTTATATTAACATAAATGTATTACTTATGTTAGTGTATGTTATTTATCGTTCTCTATTTAGTTGCTAACCGCAGCTCATTCAGATTTTGGGTGATGAGTCGGCTCATCTGAGGGGCCGTCTGGGGCATGGCTGAGCTCTGTTTGCACTCGTTCAAGATCTGATTGACCAAAAGTTTGGTCCAAAAAACTCCTGCTCAAGTCTTGTGAGTGTGTATTTTAAATTTTACAGAGCACATCATAGCTCTTATTTGTTCTGAGCAAATAGCTGACGAGGTCCAGATCCACTGATTTTCCAGATGAAATGTATCAAAATGCCATTGCCTTTCCCAAAAGCCAGGGTAACTCACACATGCTTTTTTATGTGTATGTGAGGAGGATTGGCCCTGAACTAACATCTGTTGCCAATCCTCCTCTTTTTGCTGAGGAAGATTGTCCCTGAGCTAAGATCTGTGCCCATCTTCCTCTATTTTATGTAGGATGCCGCCACAGCATGGCCTGATGAGTGGTGTGTAAGTCCATGCCAGGATCCAAACCTGGGAACCCCAGGCCACTGAGGCACAGCAAAGAACTTAACCACTACACCACTGGGCTGGCTCCCCACATGCTTATTTGCATGCTGTGTTCAAGGTGCCTGTGGGTGAGTGGAGCAGGCATGTCCAACACCGAGGCCTGTCTTACCCTGTTGACAGGACCATGCTTTCTGTGGTCTCTCACAGCACTGTGACACGCGAGGCCCTGGGCAGCTCTCGTTTCCCTCCTGCGGCACCAGCATTGGGCAGCCTGGTGGAGCAGAAACATCTGGGAGCATGAGCCTGGGTGCCAGTTTTGGTTGTCCCCTGAAGAGCCGCCACCTTCGCAAAGTGCCTAATCTATTTGCTCTTGCTTCCCTTCTCTACAAACAGGAACAGAAGCGCTCACCTGTCACAACTCACCAGGCTGTCCTCAGGGCCGGAGGAGACCCTGGGCCAAGAGCAAGCCCTCGGGAAGCTGTGAAGAGCCACGGCCATACTCACTGCGGTGAACCGCTCGGGGAGGGTCTTCATGGTCACCCGCTCTGTGAACAGCAGAGGAAGAGAAGGATTTCCCTTGAGGAGGAGGCAGAATCCACTGCCTGGCTCCCGGACGGCACTGTTTGCACCGTGAGACCGTGCGTCAGCTTCCCCAGGTCGCACTGCAGTAACACGCAGCCCTAACAGCTCAGTGGCTCGTGACAAAAAGGTCAATTCCTTGCTCACGTCGCATTTCACAGTGGGCGACCTGCGGCTCTGCTCCGAGGGCCTTCACTCAGGGAGCCAGGCTGAAGGAGCAGCTGCTCTCTGCGTTGTGCAGCTTTCCTGGCAGAGAAATGGCAGCAACACAAATACACAACGGCTGTTACAACTTCTGTTTGGATGTGACACATGTCACTGCCACTCAAGTACCGTTGACCAAATCAAGTCGCGTGGCCATGCCTGATGTCAACTGGGCAGGCGGTGCCATCTTCTCACAGAGATGCAGCAAACCCTGGGGAGCAATGATGCGAACACCCGCAGCTGGACGGTTCACCAGCTCGGGGCCCCTCCGTACCAGAACCGAACATCCCAGTGAGGGGCTGCAGGTCTCAGCTGGGGTCATCAAGCTGGCCGTCTTTGCCACCGCTCTCTCTGGGGTTGTTAGGGAGTTGGAGACCTCACTTCCCACGCAGAGTCCCCGCTCAGTTAGGAGAAGAAACAAGTCCAAAAGACTCAGAGCCTCAGGGTCGGGCTGTGGAGGAAGTGAGTAAAAGTCTGGGAGGGAGGAGCACACACTGAGTGCCCAGAGCACAAAGGTGTCCTTTAGGGAACAGAAACAGCTCAGCCACCAACAGAAAACCAAGGAAAGAGAAATGAGTTTGGAGCAGGCCTCCCTGGAAGTAAGGCCACGGGTTCAGAGAAGTAGGTTCAAGGACCACCTCATTCGTCAAGGACAGCCTCATTCAGATGAGGATCAAGGGCAGATGAGGGGCCTTGGTGGGTGCCAGGTCCGGGGTGATGGTCCTGGCGGTCATGGTTTATCGTTTCAGAGCAGCGTGGACAAGGTTTTGAGCAAATCAGGTGGCATCCCATTTGAATGGATTTGTTATTTGGGGGCAGGACGTGTTCCTGTAAGGATATGAATAGAGATAAAGGAGGAGGCACAGGATGCAAATGGTGTGGGTTGACGTGGGGCGAGGAAGCATTTACAGCTTCTCAGGATGTGAGCACCACGTCTGATTCCTCACCACAAAACCCCACCTCCTCCCCGGACGGCCCCCTGTGGTCAAGAAGATGGACAAGACGATGCCCGGTAGTCTTCAGCTGAGCAACTTTTCTGTGACAGAGAAGGCGGCTTGGCGGTGATGACATTCAGGGGACAGATGCTGGCTGCCCTGACAACGCTGTCCTTGGCTGTGTTTTTCTTACCGAATTGTTTGAAAGTTCAGGTCAAAGGCCCAGAGCCTTCTAGTATGTTCTCTGTGCTGCAAATTGAGTCTCTGGTTCATGGTTGTTGTGGGGATATTTCGAATCATTGGCCAAGAGGAACATCTCAGAGCAAGGAGGGACCTTAGAGATGACGGAACCCGTGGGCACAGCGGCTTGCTTGGGTCCTGCTGGGCAATCTGTGTCAGAGCTGTGATGGGGACCCATCGCCTGGCTTCCAGGCCACAGTGCTTTGCCCCACCCCACATCAGCTCCCATCACCAGCCCTGAGAAATTCTTTCCCCAGACATAACCCAGATACTTTTCTTAATGACCGACTTTGGATAGTGGCCTCCCTGAGGCATTTCCCAGACCCCATCTCAAACGATGGATCCCCTTCCTTGAGCCCTTGGCTTGACTGACCGTCCTGCTGCCCTGGCAGGAGCCCTGCACAGCTGGCCCATTGTCTAGTGGGGAATCAGCAGGGAACGAAGTACCTGTCCAGGGGGCTGGATGGCCTGGGACTGTGGCCAATGAGAGAGGCAGGGCTGAACCTCAGGAGGCTGGCCGCTCGGCAGACAAGGCAAGGCCTTTGCCTTAATTTCTTCTGCTGTCTGAGCCACTCTGGTGACCAAAGCCAACATTCACAGGCTGGGAGAAACCACGCTCCTTCCTTCTTGCCCTTCTTTCCACAAGTAGCTGTGGTCCGAGCTGGGCTTTCCATTTAGACCAGCTGGCTTCCAACTCCAGCTGCGCTGCTCGCTGGCCTGCGCCTCCGGTCTCTCACATGACCTTCGCGAGCCTCAGTCTCCCTGTCTGTGGGATGGAGGACGTAGTCTCCACTTCGCAGGGCTGTTGTGGGGATTAAAGGAGAGGATGCACGTACGGCACACAGCACAGCGTCTGGCGCCGTGCTCAGAAGGGCTTCCTATCACTGCTGATGTTATCATCATTGTCTTCTAACAGCACTTTCTCAGGTGTTGGGCTCACAGCTACAAAAATGGCAAATGCAGGCCTGCCCTCTGGGGCTGTGACCACGCAATGAGGATGCTGCCTCCTCGTGCGTCCTTCATGCTCTGAAAACTCAGGGTGCCGATGCTGGGCCATCGTTTGGGGCTCAAAGGCCACCCCATCTTACGACTGAAGCTGAGGCAGAGAGGAGAGGTTGTCCGCCAGGGTCTTGAACTCAAGTCTCTGTGTCATGTGTTTCCTTTCATTCATTCTTCTGTGGTTAACGCATTTTGAGATTCTTTTTAGACAGTTTTCTTCTGAATATCTGGATCCCTGGAGTCCACGCGCCCCGGAGCAGGGCTCAGTGCAGAGAGAGGGGTGAGAGAGAAGGGGGAGCTGTGTGCTGGGAGACAGGCCTTCCCAGCAACAGGACCCCGAGCACAAAGGGATTCAGAAAATCAGTTTAAATCAATGATGCTCATAAGACCAAGAAGAAAACAACAGAGACTATTTCCTTTTTCCGTCTGTCTTGTGCTCTGAAGTTATTCACACGGCACCTTGGCCCCAGGCCTGTGGCAGGGCTGCTTTCGAAGATGTGGGTTCCAGTCAGTCATCGCTGTGTAACAAACTAGCCCAGGATGTGATGACTTAATCGTTTTATCGTGGCTCCCAATTCTGGTCAGAATTCGGGCAGGGCATGGCCTGGTGGCTCATCTGCCCATGTGGCATGGACAGGGGCCACTTTGGTGGTATTCGGGGGGTGGACATGCTGGTCTCTCGGGTCCAGGTGATGTTTGGAGGCTCCATCCTCGTGTCGGCAGGGCCAGCTTCAAGGCAGGGCTCCCTGGGACCAAGGATGGGAGCCTCCACGTGGCCTCTCCACTCAGCCTTCTTGCATCAGTCGCATGACCTTTAGAACCAGCTCTAGGAGCCCCACAGCATCGCTGTGGCCACGCTCTGTCACCTGGAACGGTCACAAGCTGCCTAGATGTCAGGGCAAGGGACAGACCCCAGCTCTCGGTGAGAGGTGTGTCAACGAGGTCACGTTTTCACGGCCCCAAAGTTGGGCTCCAGAGTGAAGCATCTTTCCCTCCCTCTCTGAATGGACCCCTGAGCAGCCATCAGCACGGAGACTGATCAAAAGCTGGGGCCATGGAGCCGTCCTGTCCCCAGGGCGAGGGTCCAGGGCAGCTTGTGCAGTCGCATCTCTCCCCGATTTCATAAACACGTCACAGAACGACTGCTTCTAATTTGGGCCTGGTCTTGTGAGGCCTGTAACACATAGGCGTTTTAATTTGAGCATTCTGACATTCGCATCTCTTTTGTGACCCTAAAATTGAGTTATTAAGCATTTGGCTTAAAAAATACGTTGCCAGCGAGTGGACCCTGAAGAACTCCCGGCCCTTCCCTGAACCTCACACGCAGAACAGAGACACTCCCACCACCTTCCTGAAGTGCCAGTGCCATCAGCGCTGGTGGTCACCCATGTGCCAGGCCCTGTGCAGGGAGCTGTGCACATGTGAGCCTGTCCACCTCTCTCAATGACCCTGCAAGGCGGCTGTTAGGCCCATTTTCCAGGTGAGGAAACTGAGGCCTAGAGAAGCTAAGTGACTTTCTCAAAGTCACACAGTTAGCAAGTGCTGCACTCATTCATTCATTCAACAAACACTCATCAGGCGCTTGCCAGGTGCAGGCACTGGCCAGGAGCTGGCGGCAGCAGCGGTGGAAGTAAACAGGACACCCACCCTGTGAGGCTCATGTCCGAGCTGGGAGCGGGAACAGTGACAAACAAACCACGCATGCAGACGGTGGGCCAGGTGGTGGAGACACCCAAGCGGAGAGAGGAATCAGGACTCTGGGGCGGGTGGATCATCATTCAAGCAGGGCGGTCGGGCAGCTTCGTGGTGAAGGTGACTCTGAGCAGGCACCAGAAGGAGTGAGGGGTGGCCAGGTGGGGATGTGGGAGGAGGGACAGGGTCCCAGCTCAGGACAAGAGTCTGCCCCAAGCCCAGGCTCGCAGTCATTCGCCGCAGAGCAGGCCCACACCGCCTGGGGCTCTTGACCCAGGGGGTTCACGTTCGAGCACAATGAATCGTGGGGAGGTCTTGACATGCCCAAGATCCCCAGGCCACCGCCAGAGACTCTGAGGCACAGGCTCTCGGAGGGTCTGAAAACCCGTGTTTCTGTTAGGCACCCAGCTGACGCGGGGTGGGGACCACGCTTTGAGGAGCACAGTTAAAGAACCTACAGCAACCTGGGGCACAAAGAGCAGAGACAGCCCTGTGGGGTTACAGGAATGCTTAGGATGCTGCTGGGTAACATCACTTCCAACGTTCCCATCCCCACCCCACCCCACTCTCCCTAAAAGGGCCAACTGTTCTCTACCACACACACACACACACACGCTGGGACAAATCTCCAACAAATATACCTTCAGTTATCACTTAATCTAGTGTTAATTGAAAAACCAGGACCCTGAGTCAGAAATCTCGGTCCAGCTCATGGCAGCTATGTGTCTTGGGCAAGTCACTTAACCACCTCTCTGGGCCTGTTTCCTTATCTGTAAAATGACCAGATGGGGCTTAGTGATTGCAAAGGTCTCCTTTGGCCATAAAATTCTATGGCTCACGTTCATGCTGAGTCTTTAGGGTTAGGAGCAGTTATGAATAAGGAAAAGTTTCAGTACACTGTGAGGCTGCCCCGACCCACAGTCGCAGTTTTGGGTTTGGGGGTACAAATTCACCGAAGTCTTCATTTCTTCCGGAGTTTGGTGAGAGAGGGAGGCATCTGGGGTTAGTGGACCTCCTCCAGCCCGTTCTGTGAAGCCGGGAGGTGGCCACAGGGAAGGAGAGGAGGGGAGTTGGAGGGAGTCCACGCAGCTCCCCGACACTCACAGGTCCGGGTGCTCACGGTGTGCCACCTGCCATCGTCAGCCTCTCGCTGGGAACCAGCACCCCGAGATCTGGGGTCCGATGAAATGACTTTCCTTTGCGCATTTCCTTGTCTTCCAGATTCAGAGGAAAACGGTTTTTCTGTTCTCACAATGGTGGTTCACAGTTTGTGGCTCGCTGCCCAGACTTTTAGCTCAGAGGGAAGACGTACAGGCCAGATTCGTCCATAAACGGCCAGTGGTGACAGAAGACCACATGGCCTGGGAGAGGCAACGCTGAACCAGACCAACCCAGCTCACCCTGCCTGAGGCCAGCCTGAGGCATTGTGGCCACGGCAAGTTTTTCGACAGGTTCTTCATCTCCAGAACCGGGAGAGTTGTGCAGTTTCTACACCCTCCTCATGCGGGAGCACCAAGATCTGAGCACGCAGCCAGGAGACCAAGGTGCTCCTAACACTGAGCGTGCAAAACACACACATACCCAGAGGGTGATAATGGAAAGCTGGGCGCCAAAGGCAGCTGGGACCTGGCTCACCGTTCCCAGTGTTGATGACAACCAGGGACGCTGGCTGAGCGCTTCCTCTTTGCCAGGAGCTGCGCAAAGCCCTTCGCTTCCAGAATCTCTCTGGAGCCCTGTGAGAAGCCTAGAAGGTGGATCCAATGATCATTTCCATTTTTCAAACGAGGGCACTGAAGCTCAGAGGAGTTAAGTCACGTCTCCGGAGATCACACAGCCACCAGGTGGCCAAGCTGGGCTTTGAACCCGACGCTGTTTGCCTCACAGTTGGGTGGTCACACGGTGTCTGCCGCCTGGTCTCCGTGCACTCAGCCGCGGGTCTCCTGTAACACAAGGTGTCTTCATCAGTCTGTCAACTGAGGCTCTATTCTCAGAGCTGCTTGGGGACAGAAAATCCCACCTTGCTACACAATTTGGCTTACATTGAAGTCTGTCTGTTTGGGCCCCGACTTCCTTTCTCTCTCCTTTACCCTCGCCTTTCGACTTGGTTTCACTCCTCTCTCAAGAGCGGTGGAGCCTGCCTCCCGCAAACTCCTGAATGCTGACTCAGCACCAGCACCGGTTGCCGCTTCCCCCAGGGACCACTTGGTTGGCTCTAACTTGCGCCATAAAATTGCCTGACCACGTCCCTGTCCCTGAGGGAAAGGGGTGAGCTTATTGCCCAGGAGTTTCTTGATATTGAAAATATGCGCTGAGCTCAAAGACCCTCAAGCCAGTTGTTGGGGTCACTGCTTCCCAACTTCAGCTTCAAAAGGCCTGGGGAGGGCTGCCTGCCTGCCCCCTTGGAAAGGACAATCCGATTGTAAATATCATCTGCGCTTCGAAGGACGTTCAGACGGTAATACCCAAGCAATTACTTTCCTTTCAAGATCATTAAACACAAATCAGACTTGTATTTTAATAGGGCTGCCGATGTTGTTAATGGTGGGGGTGGCGTCCAGGGTCAGTTTTTTCCTTAATGGCTGGATGTTGATGCTGCCGCCCGCCCCGAGCAGCTTCGCTGGGGGAGGCAGCTCCCTGCTTTGGAGACATTGCACCGAGAATCCCTCCCTTCTTCTGCCACACCACCTTCAGAGCGTTTAGGAGGACGGTGACAGCTCCCTCCACCCTCCCCTTGCCCACAGCCTCCCTCCCTCAACTTCTCCCCACCAACACGCAGGCTCCCAGGGCAGTGGTCTCTGAAAGGAATGAACAGCGGAGGCTCCACTCTCACCACCGGGCTCCCAGCTCCCTTCTATCTTCCTCCTACTTTATGGAACAGAGATGCTGAAAGATGCTGTCCGGAAGGCCTGGGTCCGCTGCTCACACCCTGGGCAGAGGGACGGGCCTGCAGAGGGAACGGTGGAGCTGCTCTCCTCCTCCGACTCCCCAGTCTCAGAGTGGAACCTCTGAGACCACGGAGGGACAAGCTGCTGCCAGGTGGAAGCTGGGCTCTGAAGTCTGTGGACGGCCCCTGGAAGGACGTGCGCCCGATGTGCTGACTGCAGAGGTGGGGGGACCATCCCTCGCCCAGCTCGCCCTGCCACTGCTGTCACCTTGCTGATGGTGACACAGCAGGACCCCCCTCCACCCGGCACCCAGTGAGTGTGACCCGAGTGGCTGCCCGTGGAGTGAGGTGTCAGGTTCCCCTGGAGCATCCCGTCCTGGACCTCTCCCGTCTGGCAGCTGGGGTCCAAGAGCCCTTTCCCCAGGTCTGCTGGCTTCACTGCTCACTGAGAAAGTGGACTGAAACAGAAGTGCTGGCTGTGCATGGGCCAGGGGTGCTGTGGGGCTGGGCTTCCCTGAACTCGTGGTGTCCTTTTTAACCTTCACTGGGGAGTAATTGACAAATAAAATTGTATATATTTAAAGAGCACAACGTGATGACTTGACATCCATATACGTCATGGATGACTGGGACTTCCTTTGAGCTGGATTTCCAGAGCAGAGAAGCTAGACTGTGCTGACGCTGGCATCTCCAGGGAGCAACGTCAGGGGCACAGTTTGGGGTCGAGTTGCCCCAAGTTCTCACAGTCTCAGTGGTTTCTGGCTGTGGACCTTAGACAGTTTGTTTAACCTTCTGGGCCTTGATTTCTTCATCTGCGAGCTGGAGGGGCCCAGGGGCCAGCACGGCCCAGGGGTGGTTGCGAGGCTTGGGCTGCGTGCAGCCCTTCGCGCCGGCGGCTCCGCGTCAGGGCTGACAATCTCCTCTCTGCCTGGGAACCGCAGCCTCGCCTGCCGCAGACCCTTCGAACACCGACGCGCGGACCCCACCCAGCGGCACGTCATTTCTGGGGTTGACGTGACTCGCGTCACGGTCGTTCCTAATATCAGTTTGAAGGTGGAGGGAGATCCGGAAGAAAGCACTGCCTCGTCGCAGCCCTGCGGAGGACCCTGCGTCTGCATCTGCCCAGTGCGTGCAGCGGTGAGGAAGCACGTTCTCCTAGCGCCTGCTCTCGCATGAGCCGTCGTTTCACTTTTTCTGCTTGCAGGCCCTTTCCAGGTGTTTCCACAACAAGTGCCATATTCATATCTATTCAGTGCACTATTTTAGCAACGGGGTCCAGAATTTGCCTTATATTCATGATCACGAGACAAAATGGCAGCCAAAATGCTTTTCCACTGGGTACAGAGTGACAGGAAGTCTGGCATCTGGAGGGAGAGCTGCGTTTGCCCAGGGCCCCAAATGAGGTCCATGGTTCTGAAGACACCTTTCTGCTCAGATGAATAACAGATATAATCATGTCCATTGATTTCATCAACATGTCCCCAGCTGCTCCCGCTCTGGCCTGGTCTACCTTCCGCACAGGGACAAGTACGAACCCCTCACACAACTGAACTCTGGGCACGAATCAGTCACCCATCCCATGAACTTAAGGATGTGCTAAGAGTTCCTACTGCTGCTCTGCTTTTATCTCTACAGGGGCTTAGCAGCAATAGCTGTTTGGGGAGTATCATTTCATTGTTGACCTTATTAGTGAGGAAAGTTCAAGGCAAAGCCTTAAGCGAATATTCCTTGAATGATGCTTTCCAGATGTGAGGGGCTCGTGGTTCAGTTGTGTGAGGGGTTGGAGGTTCAGTTGTGTGAGGAGTTCATGGTTCAGTTGTGTGAGGGGTTTGTGGTTCAGTTGTGTGAGGGGTTGGCAGTTCAGTGGTGTGAGAGGTTCGTGGTTGATCTTTGTGAGGGGTTGGCGGTTCAAGTGTGTGAGGGGTTTGTGGTTCAGTTGTGTGAGGGGTTTGTGGTTTGGTTGTGTGAGGGGTTGGCGGTTCAGTGCTGTGAGGGGTTGGCGGTTCAGTTGTGTGGGGGGTTCGTGGTTCGGGTGTGTGGGGGGTTCATGGTTCAGTTGTGTGAGGGGTTTGTGGTTCAGTTGTGTGAGGGGTTGGCGGTTCAGTGGTGTGAGGGGTTGGCGGTTCAGTTGTGTGGGGGGTTCGTGGTTCGGGTGTGTGGGAGGTTCGTGGTTCGGGTGTGTGGGGGGTTCGTGGTTCAGGTGTGTGGGGGTTCGTGGTTCGGGTGTGTGGGGGGTTCGTGGTTCGGGTGTGTGGGGGGTTCGTGGTTCGGGTGTGTGAGGGGTTGGTGGCTGCACTCTGATCTTCCATGAGCATACGCTGGTTTTCCTCGTCCCCAGGAGGCAGCCTTCTGAGGCTGAGGCTGGCTGCCTTCTCCAGGGAGCTGGCAGAGAGAGTTATCTTAAAAGTTTAATAACATCCTTTCCTCTGTGAAATAATATCTGTTAATTACAGGAAATTTAGATTCTTATTTACAGATGAGGAGAAAGAAGGGAAGAAAACTGTCCAGGGTCCCTCCACTGACAGACAACCGAGGTTAGCCTTCACAGGGACTGCTTCCAATTGTTTTTATCCGCTCATGGATTTTGTTTGAACACGATGGATTGTGCAAAGCATACAATTTTTTCCTGTTCTTTTCCAGTTAACATTATGCAGTAAACATATTATTAAAAACTTTTAATTAATAAACGTAATTTTAATTACTGTTTAACATTTTGTTATAAAATT